TTCTCGTGATAGTTCTCCTAGACAGAAATCCAACGAAAGAACAGGATTGAGGTTGAGTAGACTAGCCCGAATAGTTTCGAATTTCGATCAAAGCTTCATAAGAAATTGACCCCTTTGATTTTCTGCTTGAATTTCCTATAAGGCAACTAATGCTTCCTTGAGAGCCTTGGAATGAATTATGCCTGAGATTTCGCTCCATAGATTAAGGAAACCAGCATAAAATTGATTAATCAAAAGATTACCCTGATTGTATCGTGCAATTTCTAATTCCAACTGGAACTTTGGAGCGGAGTTTTCTTGATTGTAAGAAACATTTGAGACAATGAATGGGGGAAGATTGGATACCATATGAGGTCCAATTGCTCCCAAAATCTACAAGATAATGCGAGCATCTGCACCTTCCCATTGTTCTTTCCCTTTTATCTCCACAAGAGTCATAGATAACCTATCCAAGTGGCCCCACAGTTCTATGCATTTTATAAGCATCTTGAACTGAAACTCCCATATGAAGTAATTTTTTCCGTTAAAACGGACGACAATATTTTTGTTCGACATTATAGCAGGCCAACACAATTTCTCTCAAAATAACAGCCAATTAAACAGCAGTGACAGCCCAAACAGTAGCCCAAAAAATTTTCTTACAGCCGTAAACAAAAGAAGCGCAAAAAATTATATCAGCACCAAAAGAATGCAGCAGCCCGCGATCCTTTCAACGGTAGCCCAACCCCCTTCACAATTTCAAAAATAAAGGAAACTGCAGCCCACAATCTACGCCTACAATGTCGGCGATCAGATGAACGATTGCTCACCGAAAAAGAAACCAAAATCTAACTCAATGCCGACAACCAAATGAGCAATCGATAACCACAACAATTGCAGCTCACGAGTTGGCAACTGATCACCAAATGAAGATGCCACCGCAATTTGCCCACGATCCAGCAAAAGAATCCAACAGTTACAGAGGTCGATGGCAACCAAGAAGAACAATCAGAAGGGAGTTAACTGCCTTATACTCAAAACTCCCAAAGATAAGACCACCAGAAATTGTCAAAGCCAGAGGAAATCAAGAAAATCAAATTTTCTGATCAGCTGACCCAAGAGAAATCCCAGAAACTGAAATAAATTTCTATGTTTAAGTCTCTAATACCATGTTGGAATTGTAGAATTTGTCTCAATGCCTCTCAATTGAGAGTTTCTTATTAAATAGAAGTTTCATCCCTAATTACAGCCCCTTTATTACAACATAACTATTTCTATCTAATCTTCTAATCACATCCCTTTCCTAGTTAGAACCTCATCATCCCGTGTCATATCTTTTATGTAAGGAAATAAAACAATTCTATGTTTACAGTATAATTATGTACATGACACTGATATGCACTAATACCCCAGCTTATTGTGCATTGATGCCATTATTTCAGGTGTCATTTAAAAGCAAAAGTGCTTAAAGATAATCCTAACAAGTAAAAGGATGAAGAGGCACAAACGTTCTACCATTCAACTCTAATAAAACGGTTTTAACGATCAACTAAGCAAAGAAGAAGCCATGCACCCCAAAATACAGAAAGGAAAATGTAGAAAGATAACAAAACTTTAAAAATTAAAACTTATTCAGTTACATGGTAGTAGAGAAACAGAAATAAAAATTATAAAATAGTACTCCTATAAACGCATTGACATTCATGCTTCAAGTGCATACTATAAGACCATAGTTGAATCTTAGTGAATGGTGGAGAAATGTCAACCCACATTGACAGATATAGGCATCTGATAAATGTAGCAAAACTTCATTAGCAGTAAGGTAAGCAAGAATAGATAGCTTGACCTTGCACAGCTTCGAGATAATCAACTGCTCGGATGTACCAATTAATGCAGCAATTGCAGAAACAGTAAGTTTAGACTCTGCGCGAGTTCCCTCCAAGCATACCTTCTCGAAGGAAGAGTATATATCACTACATGCACAAAAGCTTATAACATTATTATAACTTATAACCGGAAAAGGGCAATAGTAAGCAACTGCGTGACATGAATTTTATGTGTATGATTCATGGAATTAACGATAAACTACTTTCATGAAACTGATATATCTGTGTGAGCTTAGGGAGGGAGAAAGGAGGTTCGAGCATGATTCTCGTTTACAAAATGTTACAAGACGTAGGTTAATAGATGACTTCTAACTGTAAAACCAACTTATGTGTACAGACGTAAAGTAATCATGAGAAGTTATATTATTTTGTTTTCATTGTTAAGCAGAAATATAAGGTCATGTTTGGAGTGGCTATTTGTTGATGTACAAAGGCATGGTGACATTAGAAACAGCAGTGCCGATACTTGAAACTGTACACAAATCAGACTTACAATCGCCTACTATACTTCTAATACAAGCTTGAAAGACTCAGCGGTTGCTTTCTACAATGGTAAATTGAAACTTGATTTCCAGCGCGCAAACCTAAATCATAAGCTCATAATACATAATATAAGAGGGGTGCATCTTTCAGGCACTTACATGCACAGAAAATACAGTTTTGTAGACCGCAGAATTTAAGCACTAGTGTTGAGTATTTATTACTAGGATGAACAAATGGAATATGTGCCCTATAAACTGGTCACGATTTGGAGAAAAATATTTTAGAGGGTTTAACAGCCCATTGCAGTCGAATAGGTTCAGTTCCGAGGTCAGACATTCAGAGTTGGGTTAAAAACCATTTCAACTGATAAAGTGAAGAAAGGAACGGGTTTAAAACATCAACATTTGAAGTGTCAGTATATCAACAGTTTGAAGATTTGATAAAGCAAACTTTTTGATGCATGCACAGAACCAACAGCCCATGTCCATGTAATAGCAAGAAAAATTCCAAGACCCAGGGCATGACTGGTAATTGGATTTTGAGATTAGCATCGCATAGGAGCATAATTTGATTTCTAGAACCATGGGCAACTTATGTGGTTATAAAGCCTCAACATCAGATGTCCCAATGTCAAGTTTAGTGAAACTACCGAGCAGACCATTTTTGCCACCAGTGAATTTTGTTAGGATAAGTGGAAACCAATATATTCTGAAAGGCCACTATACAGATACATGCACTATACAAACGGAAGTCTACAACATTGTTTAGAAACTTTTCTCACTGCAAAAGAATTTAAATTCAAAAAACACCTTGCAATGTAAAGAATAAGGTTGTCCCATCTTGTTTTGTGGTTAATTGAACTCATGTGTCACAGTTCTGCAAGAATATCTGATCAGATTTTTTTGTCCAATATAATCATATATGTATATTTTACCCACTTAAGCAAAAACAGAATGTTTGTCTAAACTGACTAGTAGGTCCAAACTTACATAGTGCTTGTGTGGAAGTGATTTTTTGAAAAGTAATTTTTTTGGAGCGGTTAAAAAGGACGAAAAGGTTACGACGAATGTGATAAATGATTCTTTTGAAGAATGTGTAGTTGAAAATGAGTGTGGAGGAAAAGTAATTTTCACATAATCACTTTCATACAAGGTTTTAATCCTCTTCATAATTTGACAATTTCCATTAATATACAAAACTAATTTTGAACATTTAGAATATTGAAAAATTAACTAGTCAGCTTCAGGTTGAGCCTGACCGGCCAGTCTTCTGTCTCCACAGCTTCAAATATAATTTCTTTTAAAATTTATTATTAAAATAATAAGAATTTAAAATAACAAATTGTTGAATTAATTAAAAAACTAAAAATATAAAAAATTTAGTCAGTTAAACTCATTCAAGTTTGTGTCTAGTTATAAGTATTGATTTATCGAACGTGCAAGTGCTTACAAGAAAGATTTACCCAAATGCACATCTTTAAAGAAAAGGTAATAGAGCTAACTATAGTTTTAAAGATAAGTCATGCAACCTCTTAGTTGCACATCCACGTTCTTCCTTTGAGCCTACATACTACACTAAGCTACAAAATGCCCCTTACATCTTGAGTCCAGAGTTCATCTTGATAGCAACATACTTTTGATTTATCCAGAAAAAGCACTTTCAATAGTAATTAAATGCCATGCCAGTGATCATACTGAGACATGGAGTGCTTCCCTAGAAAGAAACTTCTCGTTCTATTTCATGGATTTTAACAATTCACAAAAGCTAAAAACTTTAACTTGCAAACACACACTGAGAAAAACTGCACAAACATCTATAAAGAATATACAATTCACTTAAAGTACACCTGAGATTGATTGAAATTTGAGAGCCTTCTCTAGCTAACATCTCAATTAGCTGTTCATTAAATGGGATGATCTCTTCAATTAACAAAAGCTGGAACTGCTTCTCTGAGCCTCTCAGAAGTGAGGGGAACGCACTAATTATAGTCTAGGAAATACAAAAGAATAAAACTATCAATAGATATTTATTACATATAAAAGAATAATTCAACCAATAGACAGGAAATGCACTAAGATGGAGAAAAAGATGTACTATGTAATTGCTCGTTCTTGTTTCTCAACAGAGTAAGAATTCTTACCAAAAGAAGTTGAACAGAATAATTCTTCAAATGCTTATTCTCAAATCTGTCACTAGAAAGACAATCTAAAATACAACGGACGTGGTCAAAGCTAAATACATTAAACGAGCACTTCATGACAAGTAATTGCAAGAATTCAGATAGATTTTGATCCCCGGTCTTTCTGCAATACTCATCCTGGAAAAAGGAATAAGTACGTAAAGAAGCAAATTAGTGAAAAATCAAATAAAGAAAAAGATAGAAAATTAGTTTTACATAAGAACATTGATATGGCTGATGTCATAATAATCCACTTGGTAGTTTGCTAAACACAGACAAAGTTAAATGTGACTTAAAATTAGTAACTCTATGTCAAGCGTGTGTGTGTGCAACCCAAGAAAATTCCAGGCCATGTAAGAAAAAATGTGGCACAAATATAGAATGGAAATACGTATACCTTTCTACACACTATATTAAAAGGTAATGTTCCTAATTACTGCTTGCCAAAAGTGTGATAATCATATTTAGGGTGATGTCGTGACTTGCATCAGTTCAGGACAGTGAAAAAGGGTGTATTAATACTTAAATAGGGCCAAAGTCCCAGCTTACAAAATAACTTAAACTTATTGCAAATAAATTTGGAGCAGGCACCATCAATCCTTTTTCGACACTCTGTTCTGTTATGCATGATTATTCTTGAATCCAAAAACCATATCTTTAAAATATTTTTAAAACGTTCAATGTGGAATGTGGAGCAGGAATCTCATTTATTGGCCTTGACCCTAATTTTAAGTCAATAAACCATGTTAATTTTTCAATGGAAATATTGTAAAGATCCTTATTTGTCTTCAACGGCTTGAAATTAGACAAGTTGTTGATTTGCACATTAACAGGGCAGGCAATGTTTACATGGGTGTTCCATCATTAGTGTTATCTAGTTAAGGACAAGACTCCAAGCGAGCTATAAAAAGAAAGATAACACAAACATAGAGAAAAGCCCTCAAACGCCCTATTATAATGATTAGGAATAAAAGAAGAGCAAAAGAGGAATGCACTTGCAACATAACCACTAAGTCCTGATCTTGGAAAAGTGAAAGGTGAAAGCTTCAAGAAACTCATGGCACAAATCACAGCTATAAAATGCAGATACGGTCTAGCTTAACGAAAAAGTTTCAGACAAGACAAACAGATAGTTCATCTAAAGATCTCTACCCACGTAACAGTGGTCATAGACAGAAGTCTTCTAAGAACAGACAAATTGCAGAGTTATTTAACACCATTTGGTGATTGAGTTTTTCACAACTAAAACTTAACGCTGATTATGAGAGAGTGCAAAAATACAATCCATTATTAATTTCATCAGCTATTAAGAGAAGAAAAAAGATCTTAAAGAACTCTAAACTTAAATACTCGAAATTTGAGATAGATGTCATGGAAAAGTCTATGAAAAGGTTAAGCTCACCATGGTTGTCTGGACATCAATAGTAGTCTCTTTTTCTAAAAACTCCTGTAACATACTAAATATTCTACAATCTTTCAGCTCATTAAGTTTGTGAAAGCAATCTTTTGCTTTCAAAGGATCTGGAAAGGATGCTGACATTTTCAGAAATGACGCCTCAATTATCCTTTCAGCTTCTGCAGGGCAATTCTCCTGCAATGTGAGCATCAACCAAATGCAGGCACAATTGCCAATATCAGGTAAAATGGTCGAGCAACAGTAGAATAACAATCTTGCACAAGATAAAGGTATGCCCATGAAGCACAACGATGTGTGATACTGTGATTTTGTGATTGTTGACAAAAAATAACAATATACTCCATAGATAAGACTATTGTTGGTATGCACCTTCGTGATCACATAGATGAAGCACTGAAATTCATCACTTTTTGGCTTATGAATGCTGTTTCCAATAATAAGCAAGTGCATCAATTCTACAGAAACTTATGAGAAAATCTTGTACATGTTTCATAATACGCAACGTCTGTAATTTCAATCTAGCATATCCATTCTTACTGCTGCTTAAAATTGTGAATTTCCCACGGTTCTATTCTTGATAAAGAATGTCTAGTTTCTCTCAATCTTCAACTGAGTGACACAAGCCAATATAACAGCTCTGGCATTATAAATTTATAATTATAGTGGGACAGATAACAAACAATTCAAAGAAATAAAGATGTACTCTAATGATCTCATCGTGGGTTTAAAAAACGAAAGAAGTAGAAGAAGATGATAAAGAAGATGATAGTGAAATTGATAATGACCAAGCTGAGACGTATTATCATGTCCATCAAACTGGTGAGGAGAAGGAACTAAGAGAAAGGTATGATTTCAAGTGATCAGGACGGTGTACTTGTACTGCCAATTGAATCAATTTGAAACAAAACAGATATAAATAATATGTGCACAGGCTTAAAAAAATAAAATAAAATTTATACAGGTGCACATTGAATTCTCTCTTCTAATAATTAATATCCCAAAGAAACTAACATGCTAATCAAACCGTACTCAAATAAATTTTGGAACGTGATGTGAGCTTGGCTCCCAAACTTTTGCCGATTATTAGTAGATTATGAACTCCTAAAGTATTGTTTATAAGAGAACTTGCTTTCTTAGGAACACAGATACATCCAGAAAACATTTAGCATGTAACTCAAAACTATATTGTTATACCTCTTTTTGTTTCCGTAGAGTTAGGTAAACTTGCATCTCGTCTCGCAGCCTGGAATCACATGGAAGTATATTAAAAATGAAGACATGGTTTATTGCCTAATGAAAGGAAATCAGTATTCAGCACGTGTACCTTCGTTTTTGAGAAAGAACGATTTTCAATGCCATAAGGTGAGGTGACTTGAAGAGTGAGAATATGGAGATCCAATGCCTTGTCCTTTCCTCAATCTGAAGAGAAGAAGGGAATAGATCTACTAGCACAAGCTCCATGCTTTGAGGCCTACAAAGCAAACACCCACATAATCTCATATTAACTGAAATAATTTGATTTCTTCTCTTTCATTTTTGCAAGAATAGGCATACCTGAACTCCTGGCAGTCTTTATCATAAGAAAGCACTAAAATTTTGCAAGGAATCTGTTCTATATGGTCATTGAGTGAAGCAATGCCTGTAGCACACCTTGTGCAATAGTCCTGGTATAGTTCGAGCAACTTTTGCAAGGCCTTTCTTCTGACAGAAATCTAAATTGTAAATTGAAAAGGACAAAGGATAGAGATAAATATAGAGAATGCCATACTTTAGAGAGACAGAAACACATCTTACAAAACCTTAAAGAAAAGACTACCTTCTTATCACGAAGTCTTTCAGCTGCACGAGTTATTGATTCTGAAGGCACCACATTTAGGTAAGACTTTACCAGATCACATAACACTGATACTGCTTCCATCCTCACTCTATCATCAAAATCTAGCAGTCGACCCTCAATGGCAGCTGCTCAGCTCACAAAGCATTAAAATGTAATATAAGAATTCAATATCGTAAGCTAATAAGAAAATATACGTAGCACTGCATAAGTAGAACAGAAGTTCCGACAGCTTACAGAGAACTTCAACTGATTCTCTTCCTGATGGATTAGTCATGTAAAGAGCTTTAGCACATGAAAGAGCACTAAGTCTCACTTCTGCAGACTTGTCAGAAAATCTATTAAGGAGCTCAACAAACACATGGCGATATTCTTGTGCAAAATGTTGACCGGGCAATTCTAGAAGCTTTCTTATTAAATTTAGAGCTTTTATACGCACATCAACTTGATCAGTCTGCGAGTTAAATTAAATTGTCACTTATAAAAGAACCCAAAACAGAAATAATTAAAATAAATTAAAGAAAAATATTGGACTGGTTGTGAATGGTTAAATTAATATCTGCTTGTTGAAGAGAAAAATATTTGGCTTGTGCTAAAATTGGTTGTGGTAAAAGGATACCAATGGCAAACCACTACCAATAGCAGGAAAAATGTAATAATTAATAATCATTAAGTTCCTAAGAAGGAATATCAATTTACTTTGAACATTCAATTTGATAAGGACATGTGAGGTTAACAAATCAGTCAAAAAACAGAGTATTTTTGTGGTAGAATGAGCAGTTGATAGGTTATAAACCAGTAATTCATGGATTTAGTCAGGCAAAAAATATGAAAGAGATGAAAGAAAAAAATCTCAATAACAAACTGTGTGAATGGGGAATGAATTGATGATAAAATAGAACCATGCACTAATTTGGTTGACGATGAAGAAAAAGAATTCTTGTTTAGTGCTCTATTCAACAATACAAGATGCCCCTGCATAACTTCTTGGAGTATTTCACATACAATCAATTTTTCTTGGACGATATGATAAAGGAATATTTAGAGACATATCAACAAAATCGCTCATAACAATATATCTTCCGGGCATACAATGATTCTTTCATGATTTGGAGCGTGTTCAATCTGAAAAGAATTTTCGCAAAGTTGGTTGACAGATGGTATTCATATAAAAGATCTTATTTCCTTTCTCTCTGAAACCTTGGCATGGATCTAAACTTTGAATAAGCCAATTCAATTGGGACGTTGTAGATCCATTCTTTTTCCTATTCAAAATCAGCCCCCTGGCTCTATGTTTTCACATCAAGAATTATTAGCAAATGAAGAGGTGTTATAGGGGTTTCTTACTTCTGAATTTCGACATAGAAATAATAATAACGGTAATAACGATAGTAAAAGTCCAAATGTGAGTATGTTTGTTTAGTGAGTTCGTAATTTCATTAGGATGGCATGAGACTAACAAATCTGCAGTACAACATCAATAAAGTATTTTATTCAAAAGCTGTGAGCAGTAGAGGGGGTACGAAGTACGAACCAGTAATTCATGGGTCAAGCTAGGAACAACAGAAAAAAGCATTTGAGGGGCATATCGGAATATTTCATGTATAATTTCATGGTAAAATTCTTTCAGTGCACTTCCAACAGCATCTCTATTTAATATACATGATCTCAAAAATTTGCATATATAGCGCTCCAGCTTTTCACCACAATTTTGAACGACAGAAACAGCAAGTTGAAAAGAAGCAGAAGATACACCCTGAAGAGCAAAATGAGCAGGTAAATAAGTTAAAAGTGCCGAAAACTGAATTCGCAGAAAAAGGGGACAGGACATCAATTTTTTCACATTTGTACGCCGAAAAGAAAACTACCATCCATACATATTCAAGACAACTAGTTCTGGTTCATTTCAAAATAAAAGGCAAATGGAGGAACTAGCAACAGCTATAAAGTAAAACAGAATAAATACACAAGTAGATCTAAAGATAAATTTTGAGAAAATAATGAACTAGCACGTGTATAGATGCAGGGAGGTGGCAAAAGAAATAAAGGCAAGTTGGCTGCAAGGCTGACAAGCTAAACAAATAGATCAAAAAATAAATTGCGGATTGCAGGAGATATCTTCTTGTTTCCTGTGAAGCCAACTCAAAAAAGTGATATATCATACTTGTGTGAGGTCGACTGAATGGATTTCCAAGCTTAAAGTTTTGCATGTTTTGAATATCAAATCATGAATGGAATTCAAATTTTCCTTCCCTAAACAGTGATTGCAATCATAGCATTTGTAATCTATGACCCCATCCCAAATTTCAAGTCTTCAGAAATTTTTAACAAGGTAAGTGGTCCATAATGAACTTCCATATGTTCATATTCCAACCATTTTGTCTACATGGAACACAGTAAGGACGAACAATATTGTAATGTGAGGCTTCTCCAATAAAACTAGCTGCTCATAACTCAATTTCATAACATTAAGACTATCACTGAATAGAAAGTGGTTCATAATTCCTTAAGCAATGCACCCCAAAAAAATTAATAAGATGGCAAGAAGGTTAATCCATCCAAAGTACAAAAATTGAGTTTTGTGGTTGCATGAGTATGATAAAAGAGATAGAGAGAATGTCCTTTTCTGGTCAACAAAAAATTATAGATAACTGTGCATCCAATTAAGGAAATACCCAGCCAATGCCCACAAGTGTGGGCACCAGAAGTACAGGCCTATTACAAAGCACTAGCCCTCTAATTTAATCATGAACATAAGTACTAATACAATTGCGTAAGAAATCCCATGTTGCTTTATACAAGTCCTTGAAAAAAATATACACCAAGCACTGTCACAAGAACACAGTAATCTCAAGAGCAAAGAAAGTTCTCTATTTTCCTAATTTCGCAAGAACAAATAGATGCAGTCTAATGCTTTAGACCCTTTCGATTTGAGGCCTCGAGTATATGTTCATTGCAACAAGTATTACTGATACAAAACTTTTGTATATCCATTGATATATGGAAAGAAAAATATACAACATGCTCGAACATAAAATAAATTTGATATTTCAGTTACCTCATTGTTGTTGTTGCTATTGTGGTTTTCAGTAGAAGAGTTTACTCTTTCAACTACAAAAATGAATCTAGGAATTTTTCATTATTTACCTTTCTTTCCTTAATAAGATTGTGCAAAATCACATCTAAAAGTGGCAGAGATGCACTCCCTTCTAAAATAAGAGGGTCAGCATCAGCCTCCTCTACTTTCTCCTCCAAAATGCGTGTTATTATAGATGACATTGAAGTAATCAGACTTCGAGGATGATCATCCCTACAAGTAAAAATACACGATGCGATCAAAGGCCTTTTCACATTCTTCATTTCAGCGTTCCACTTAAAATACCAAAATACTAGCAGAGAGAATAAAATAACAGAGTAAAAGAAACAAAAGATAGAAACAACGTATAACAAATCCAATCAGCATCAGCCTCCTCTACTTTCTCCTCCAAAATGCGTGTTATTATAGATGACATTGAAGTAATCAGACTTCGAGGATGATCATCCCTACAAGTAAAAATACACGATGCGATCAAAGGCCTTTTCACATTCTTCATTTCAGCGTTCCACTTAAAATACCAAAATACTAGCAGAGAGAATAAAATAACAGAGTAAAAGAAACAAAAGATAGAAACAACGTATAACAAATCCATCTTCTAAGAAACATGGGCATCTGTAGTAAGGCATAAAAATAAATTATACACCAACGATCAAACATTTTGTTGAAAGGACGGTGAATATATGACAAGTGTTAGCCACATATGCTGCTTTTTATAGGAAGTCATATAAAAAACGACAACTCTTAGCTTATGGGGGAAGGGAGGCTAAAAATTATAAAGGAAACGCCATCTTAGACTAGTTTATTATATTTATTTATTTTTCTCTTTATGGGAAATGGGTTCAAAGTATTATGGAAAAGCTCCCGTAGCATTTCAATTACAATATTAAAATTTTTGAAAAAGAGTGCTATGAGGGTTGGTCTATTTTTTAATTTTAAACAAGTAAATAAAAACTATAAATACATGTAAATAAATGATTAAGAAAAAAATGAGAGAAGGTGGAGGGGGAGGAGGAGATGCAAACCGCACTACACTGAAGAAGCTTTTGAACATTTTAATAACTAAATCTTCACATCCAATGTCTAGCATTATCACACAAAACTGCAGTTGCGCAACCGTGTCCAGTAATTTTGCCCATCTCGAGAAATATGGGCTTTTCATGTTCTCAAGCTCTCCAAAAGTACTTACAAGAAGTCTAAAAATGTCCTACACCAAGATTTAAAAACTTTGATGAAAATATGTTTGCAAGAAAGAATATACATCAGAAGAAAGTTAGTAGTAAAAGATAATGGTGATTCCAGGGATGGAATGTGGATGAAATTATGTAAACTGAACATTTTACCCTGAAAACCGCATCACTAAAATCAGGATTTGGAGCCAGGATCCGAATGATTTCACAGAAACAAATGCCAACCAGAAGCCTGATATCTTTATCTTTATGGAGAAGTAGCCCATGTCTAACAAGAGAATCACTGAGAGGCTTGATAGTTGGTTTAAGTGACTCTGACTGTTTTAACTCTGGGAAAGCACTTGTAGCTTCCTGCAGAGGGAAACAACATGAGTAAGTCACAAAATTTAGGGAAACAAAATATGACACCCTAACTCAGAGCACAATAAAGCACATAAACTCAGCTAACCTAATCCAATATCTAGACGAGCACAAGTATGAAATCCCAAGAAAATAAAATATTAATGTGTTACAGATCTTTAAAAACGTGAAACTCCAGAATAAGACCATAAACTTCACTAAATTTTCCCCGAGACACGAAGCAGCAAGGAACTAACCCTGCATACCTGCAAAACTAAGTATAGTTGCTAGATAACCCTTTAACGCGTGCATAACAGAAAGTTACAGATACTGGCAGAAGTTTGTATAACCAAGCCAAACGAGCAGCCATTTAGATGAAATAATGTGCTTCCATCATTTCATTCACCACGTGTTTATGATTAACTTTAGAGAATATGAAAGAATAAGAAGCAAAATTTAAAATATCATAAACGGAAAAGAGGACAAACTCTCTATAAAGAAAATTAGTGTGGAACGTCATAAATGAAAATGCAAGAGATATACTAAGCCTTTGTTTGGAAAGAATTTATGAATTGTTTAATTTGTAAATAGATAAAAATGAGTGGTGAGTAGTACTTGTGGCGTCTTAATCATCCCCCAGGAGGAATATGTGTCCATTTGAATGTATAGTTAAAAACAAAGTTTGACTATTTATAAATTAGCCAAATGAAAGCTAATGCTTCTATGGTCACTTGTTATAAAATAGTAAGCTCTATGATATAAATGAAAGGCTCGATTCTAGGGAAGAAGGTATAATTCGCAAAAAAGAAATTCTGACAGCAACTCAAAGCCCATAGTTTCTCCAATGATTAATTGATGATTCGATCTAATCGAAATTCATAAGTACAGCATAAACTACCTGAAACAATGGCAGCTAATATTGCATATGCATGAGTAAGCCCCCGTTGATTTAGCTACAAATTATATTTTTAGTAGATTTTGATAGAAGTTGATTAAATGTGTGGTTGAAATGTTGATAAAAGTTTAGAATCCCATGAGATGTGTTGTTGAAAATGATTTTAAGGAGAAATGAGGACCAATCAGGGGCTCGATAAAATACTTTAAGACAAATATATTGAAAGCCAAAACTTCAGCCAAATGTCCGTAATACTTCTCAAATATAGTTCAACACTTTCTGTTGAAATATTTCTTTAGTTTTATTTCAGACTTTCAGTTACTAATCCTTCTAGATAATGCATTAAAAACCCCAAAAAAACTCAAAACCCACAAACAACACTTATAGTAATTGTGTGGATTAACGAAAGGTCAAAAATACAGTAAACAAAAACCACTGCCGAACGATTGGCAGCCTAAAATGAAAGGGAAAAGTTGTCTAGGCGGTTCAGGTTGCATTCATTCATTTAATTTGACTAGTGGGATATCATGTATATACAAGTAAGTGCAGAAATAGATCCCAGATAAGAAGTGCGTTGAACAATAAATCAATCCAGCCCAAGAACAAACGAAATGAAACATAAAATACCCCAATGATTTCGAAAATCTTACATAGCCAATATACCCACATCTAATCGAAGCTATTGTCATCAAATTTCATAAAACTAACATGCGAAAGCGAAAATACTATTTTGATTGTGATAAACCAACGTACCACAGAGTGAAATCAAAATGGCAAGCATGGCATGACATGACATGGAATTAACGCACTTCTAAAGAATCAGAGCGAGGTAAAATCTATATAGCAGACCATATAGCAGAAGAAGGTGCACGTTGTGTTTAAATTGTTCCACGCTGTCCTAGCATCAAATAATTGTAATGGAACTATCGACATATTTTTCGTTTTTCATTTTTTGGAAATTTAAATTGTGGGTATGTAAGAAAATCCAAAAGAAAAAAAAGGGGAAATTAAAGAAAATTAAGTACATAAAGTAAAACATATGATTAGGTTGGAAGTGTTCATACTTTGAGCAATTTAACGAGTGTGTCTTTGTTGGGGCAAATATTATAAGCGGCGAGTTGTTTGCCGATTCGAGTTACAACTTGCTTCGCCTCGTTCTCACTCGTTGCCTCCTCCATCTCACTGTGTTTAGTGCGTGTTACTCTGTAGATGAGGATTTGGGGGTCTGGGCTGCCGGCGGTGCTTCTGTGTGTGTACGTCAGAGAGAAACGAAATTTGCTTTTTCAGAGGGTGAAGTTCCCGCCTATATGGTGCGCTGCACTGTGGCAGCGCTGTTTAAGGGACCAAAAACGGTAATTATTTTATTGGTACATATCTTTTTGTTATTTGTTCAATTAGGTACAAACTTTCGAACGAGGAAAAAATAGTAGTTTGGTATGTAGTTCAGTAGGGGGTATTATTATTGCCGAACCCAATTCCTATATTATTTGCAGGTAAAAGAGTAATTGAACAAACATTAAAGTGAAAGGGGGCATCCATCGAAAATGGTAGCAGGAAAGATGGGAACACGAAAGAGCGAATTACAAGTGATATGGTCATGTTTGATTCTCAATAATTGTAACCATGGAATAAAGGATTCCATATGTAGTGATGAAAACGAGTTGAATCAAAATTTATTGATCGGACAATGCTACATTTACCTATACATTTTTACTGAATTTTTTATCTACACTCACAATAAGAGGGGTGGGTCCCACAAGCCAGAATTTTTAAATGCAAGCGAGGTCCCACAAGCCAGAATTTTATCTATTTTTTTTTCCTTTTCTTTATTTTAAATTAAGCTTTGGATACAATAGTTATTTTACTTAAAATTTAACCTTTTAAAGTTTAAAATGATAGTTTTGTATTAAATTGACCTCGGACGTAGACCTTCTAAAGGTTTAAAACTCCAGTTACCATAAACCAAAGGTTTTGGATCTCATCAGCATAATGTTCGAAGGTTTTGGGGATCCTTGGTGCAATTAGAACAATTCTTTTATTTTACTATAATGCCCTTATTGATATAAATTAAAATATGATTTTAATATTAAATCAAAGTCAAACAATTAATTTTAGAGCTTGTTTGATACAACTTAAAAATCAATTAAAATCAATTTTTTGACCGTTATTTCATTATTTCAATCATCATTTTTGAATTCTTCTCTCACAAATAGGACCCACTTTATCTTTAACGGTAAAAAAATCAATTATCAAAATTCCTACCGAACTCGCACTTAGACTCCATTTGATTGGCATATTTTTCCATGAAAAATGTCACATCCGAGAAATTAATTTTCTACTTGGCTGTTTGATACGAAAGTGAAAATAAAGTTCGCATTTCAAGATACGCACATTTAAAGCATATTTTTGGTCAATTCCATAAAAAATACATTTCTATGATTTTGGTAAGTTTTTCTTTTCTAACTTACATGGAATTTGTTTGCCTTTTTCATATTTACAATCAAACGGACCTTTAACATATGTGACCCAAGGTCACTAGTGAATCTACGTATGAAGTTGGAAGACTGATAATTTTTCAACCTCATATTTTATTAACTTTTATCATAATCTACTAAAAATTTTATTTTAATCTACACTAAAACATGGGCAATGATTTATGATTTTAGAAAGCAATATATAACTATATATATGTTAATCTACGTGAACTACGTATGTTTTTGATTGAATTTGTTAATTATAAAAAACAATTACATAATTGAAATTTTGGGTCTATAACTAGAATTGATAATGACCATATTCAGCCCCTATTCGACAACCTTTAAGAAGAGTTTTTTTTTTTTTTTGGAAAAAAAATTAATTTTTAAATAGTGATTTTTTGGATAATACATGGTTAAAAATTTGAAAAAAAATGTTTTATGGACAAAATATTTCGCTCCTGTTCATTCTTTTAAAACTTTTTTTTCATATTCATTTTCAACCACATATTTTCACAATAAAATATTCTTCACGTAAATTCAAATTTTTTTTTTTTTTAACAATACATTCTTCAAAAATTTCCTATTCAAAAACTCATTCTTTTGAAAGAATAACTGTCAAATAGATGCTTTATCATGAGAATATGTAATTGAAAATAAATTTGAGAGAAAAATTGTTTTAATGGTTGTCAAACAATTACTCATATATTTCTAGGTTTTAAGAACGGGAGTCAGTTAAATTTAAACTTAAACATAAAATGGCCTCTTCGTCTGGATTCTAGTTTTGTAAGGTGGTTTTGGGGAAAATAACGATGTTTATTCAAACTAGAGAACATATTAGGCTTGGAATTTTAAAATTTTATTTTATGTCATTTTATACTTTGAAATTTGATTGTTCGATAAAATAAAATTATTTTATTTTATTATCTAGTAATATATATATTTTAAAGTTGGTGAATATTACAATATATTTCTCGATGCAAAAGAAAAATAAATTGATTTGAAAAAATATAAGAAATAAAAATAAAAATTTATAACGTGAACTGAGAATTTTTATATGGGTTTAGTTCAATATAAATTATTAGAATTTTGTGTAAATAACCATTAAGCATTTGTGCTATTTTTATTTTATTTGTTTACAATTTTTTTAATTTTTTAGAATTATATTTTTCAGAAATTTAGAATTTTTTTTTATAATTCTAATTATTTTCGAGTTTTATGTTAATTGCATTTTAAAAAATATTAGATTAAACAAATTTTGAATATTTTACAAAATTGAAAATTGAAAATGACTTGAAAATAATAAATCAAACACACTCTTGATTTTTTAAGTATAGATTACGGTTAAAAAATAATAGTAAAAGATTTATCACTTTTTATTCTCTATAATTCCTTATTATTCAGTCACATTTCTAATACAAGAATATGAACATCTTCTAATTTATTTTTTATTGAATTAATAATAATAATAATAATAATAATAATAATAATAATAATAATAATAATAATAATAATAGGCCAGACCAAGATGATGTGTGCTGGGCCTGATGGTGAATTAACAGAATAACACTAGCTGGGAAGAAAAAATTGTTGAACTGTTTTTGCAGATTTACTATGTTAAAGTTAGAAACATAAAAATACGAAAGCCTATTCCTAGATCAAGTGGTTGTATTGAATAAAAGCCCTTTATATAAATTTCAGAATGGAAAAGTAAAACAAGCTTGATGGATTCATAGAAAATTTTCGAAAGTCAGTCTTGACATTGATCGAGAAAGAATAAATAGTCGATGATCTAAGGGCCTATTTGATAAACTCATTTCTCATGAAAATTCCACCCAAATTGGTAAGTTTTGATAGACAAAATTTTCTATGGAATTAGTTTTCCACCCTACCCCCACGTGACCCTTTTTTCCACATTTTTAAGGAACTGATTTTCCTTTGGTTTTCCAGCTTTTTTTTTTTCTTGGCAATTTGAATAAATTATATTCTCAATTGTAATATCTCTTTAATTGACAATTTTCATAAAAAATAAAACCAAACGAACATGAAAAAATAGAAAATTTCAACATTTTCTAAGTGAAAAATTATAAGTACACAGGGCATGTACAGGCCACTCTCATGACAATGTGGGTGGGCTGGGGTGTGTGTGATTATTTTTAAAAAAAAATCACCCCCCCCCCGCCCACATGTGTGAGGGGGCCTGTAAGCATCTCTCGATACTTAATTGACAAATTTCAAAAGAATAAGTTCTAAGAAATTTAATTTCCTGGAATTCATTTTATTTCTAACCAAATTCCATTTTTACAATCAAACGAATCCTAAGTGTTCGATCGATCTCGAATTGGTTTTTCATATCAGTCGAATCAAAGCTTTTTTGACATCTTCTAAATTCGTAACGTTTTATGTGTAACGTCACAGACTTTCTGAATCACTTTTCAAATTTCTCTGTTGATTGAGTTCGATGTGTGTGAGGTTGGTCTATACTCGAGTTGAGATAAGAATCTAAAACTAGTTCATGACATGTTTGATAAGATAAGCCCAAAAAGAAGTAAATTGTGATTTGTTAACTTTCAGGTAAAAGAACTCTTACTTTCAGAATAGATGAACTAACATAGTTGAACTTTTCAACAATAAATTTATTTGATTACAAGCAAACATTTTCAGCTTAGCCAAACATCACATCTCAATCAATCAAGATCATGTCGGGTGAGCTTCACAATCCACATTGTGATCATACAAAATGGGGGGAAAATTTTAAAATTAAAAGAAGAAGAAAAGGATGCTATTTTCCAAAAGACAATATCATAGAAGGCTTAGAAAACGCTGTAATGATAATTGGGCCATAAGACACATTTTTAAGCCTCGTTTGGTTCTCATTATTTGTTCATTAAAAGGAAAATTATGATTATTATTCATCACATCAATTCATCATATTTGACCTTCTATTTCTTATGTGGGGCCCGAAACGACTATTTTCATTCTCATTTTTACATTAATGTGTATCAAACGGGCCTTAGTTCCGCAAAAGAAAGGGCGGGGAGATGCCAAGATCTTGACTTACTAAAAGGTATCCCACTCAATAGTCAAATCGGAAGGGGACGACATGCGAATTTACAATATTCATCCGACTCGCTGTACTAACCGTCTGTAACGTGTTTAGTGTCTGTTCGATGTAGATTCTTTTGGAATAACTTTTGTAATTTTTTTTTTTGAGAATTCATGATTAAAAAGTACGAAAGATTATGGGTCCACGTACAAAATTATTTTATCGAAGAATGCGATTGGAAAAAAAGTTTAAGAAAAAATATTTAAAGAATTTATATTAAACAAGTGCTTAACGAACCAATTATTTTAGAGAAAATAAACATAACTCTACTAATTTCCACATCTATTTTTATCATTGACTTGACTGGTTAATTAGCATCAAAATTCCAAAAAACATTGATGACATTTGCCAACTTAGTCAAATTGATCCACTATAAGTTACCCTTTTTTCCAGATTACAAGCATCAAATTCAATCTGATTAAATTGTTGATTGACTATTCGGTTTTATATCATTCTTGCCTCTTGTGGTCTTCCTCGTTGCTCTACCTAAAAATATCGTGTAAGCACAGTGTACACACACTTGTTGTCATTATCGATTTTTCTCTCCTCTTTTCAATTTTCGCCTTAATTACTCTCCTTATAACAATTTTTGTCCACGTGTATGTACAATATAGTGTCATATCTACATTATTTTTGAAATGTAATACAGAAATTGTTGAAAAAGTAATGCAAATTTAGCATAATTTTGAATGGGGTTCATTTCTTTTTTATTT